GTCAAGAAGGGCAGTCGTAGTGAATAGACTACAGGTTACCTCGTGACAGAGCTGTCAGTTGTGACTTTCCTGTAGTATTGAAGGGAGTATCTGAAACGTTTGACAACTGAACATTAGGTTGAACTGTGGTAACATGCGAAGAATCTAAATTAGTTGTGGTGGTTGTTCCTCTATGTATAGAATCTTCTTAATCATTGTTGCGAAGTTGTGAAAAAGTTTCTCCTGCACCATGGAGAGAATGATGACTCCGCATGTAACCACTGTTTCTGATTCGTTACTTTTTGAAACCGTGGCGTGTACGGTTTCCTTTATCATCGGGTCTAGGACAACTGAATTTATTTTAAGAGTTAGTGGTTACTGACTCGGGAGTAAAATTATATTTTAATTGTCGGTTCGCCTTCTCTAATAAAAAAAATGTTAACAATAGCAATCTCGGTGTGTCGAGTACCAAATTCTCTGCTGGGGAGAAAAAGCTTTTCGTTATATCATAACTAGACTTAAAGATCATCCACTGACTGATTTTACCTGAGAACACAACTAGCTCGGACCTCCTGGACCGTGCGGAGGTATCAAAGATAGCTTTTGTGAGCTGTGGCACGTGGTTGGTGTTATTGTACGTTGGCAGTACGGCATCCGTTGTGGGTTGGATTGGCACAGAGAAGTTCTCGTTTGCTGACGGCATCGCTGAGAAAGTCGGCCGTGGTAGGGTGCCCAGTGGTTTGTTCTGAGTGACGGTCGGTGGTTGCGACACTTCGATTATCCCGTGGTTTCGGCATCGAAATCTTATTGTAATTTCTTATTTTCTTACATATACTAGATTTTTTATATACGATATAGATTATATTATTATAATTGTACTAATTACTAATCTAAGTTTTTAATAATTCATTGACATAGATACATAATACTTATAATTTTCTTAATTCTTGACATCGATTTAAATAAAAAATAACATATATTAATACTTGACATGGAGTTAAATATAAAAAAAATCAACCAATATAATGTTTACAAAAGTTATTATATTTTTAAGATCTACATGTCGTTCCAAATTGTCTTGCCCTTCATGGGTCATATGTTCACATGTTTATACTGATGCCATCTATTCTATGTTACATAGGTTGACAATAAATTATTGAGTACTTATTTAGTATTGAAACCGTTGGAAACATCGACTATTGAACAGTATGATGTTGACTTCCGATTGCCAGTCCGGGGCTGAACGTGTCACACCGGATGGTATGTTTGCCTCTGCGAAGAATGTGTTATGGTTTGATCAAATCCAAGACCGTGTACGTCTAGCTGATGTACAGGAGGTTCGAGAATAAGATGACTTATCTTTAGCATCCAGAGCGGTGAGTTGAGCCTGCAGTTCTGCCTGCAGTTCTGCCTGCCCAGCTTCGAGTTGGAGACAGGTGAGCTCACGCTCACGCTCCCTCTGCTTCGTTGCCAGTTGTACGCGTCCTCGAAGAGGCACTTAGCGCGTACGGTAGCTGAGTGGGATGACTACGAACGTTCACCCATAGAACGTTTGCAAACAGAATAATCTTTTGATTTTGCGTCACTGTCATCGAAAGATTTGGGCCACTGTGTGAGTTCCGCTTGCAGGCTTGCGCTCGATGGTTGTGTTGCAACATCGATATTATCAGCGCTTGGAGTTGGTTGCGAATCGACGTCGTCGATTCGTGGATGCGTGGAGCGGTGCGATATATGTGCTGCATCCGATCGACTCCGAGCGCTGAAATATCTGCAACTGACTTACTTTCACAATGTGTCTGCAAGATTGATGTGAAATAAAGAAATCAACAAATATGAAGTACGAATTCGAACTACGAAAAAAAAAACGGATGAAATGAGATGAATTATGCCGACTAAATAATTTTGACTAATGAAAGACCAAAATGATAACTACTTGCGCGAGGACTTAATAATGAAATTCAAATTGAAATGAAATAAAAGAATAATATATTGCTAAGTTTATAAGTCGGTTACAGATCTAATTTTAATATTACTGACAAAGCGAAAAACCATATAAAAAGAACATGTCATAAAAACTTAAATATATGCCAACAATCAGTGTCGCTTAATTTCATGTGAAATTGGTACCTATTTCATTTACCGTGTCCAATTAAGCTCGTGCTATAGTAGTGATTTTGGTTTTGTTGAGTTTCAAAAGCTCTGCAGTTAGTTTTTGCGACTGACCGTCCATAAGAGATTTGGCAAAGTTCTAGCCCGAATGATTGTTCTGGTATTTTTTTAATCGTTTTGAAGAATCGTTCTTTAGGATTGTCATCGCATCGCTGTTTGTATCTGTTTCAAAAATTTTGGACTGAAAACACTTAAATGATACTCTTATCGATATTGCATTAGGACTAGTAGCGTCATATTTTTTAGTAAATTTATTTTTTTTTCGATGAAATTAGTGAATTTTCACTCACGGGAACTTTTAATGTAACCTTTTCAACGTTTGTAATTGGTAAATGTCAAAATAATCACATGTCTCTTAAATACTCTGATATTACGTGCATTAGTGTATACTCGTTAGAAAATAAGGGCTTATCGCATGCAGACTGCGGTGGCGAGCAGGGCTTCACTAAATACATTATACGACCTCGCAATGAAACGTGACCATTGATTTGTAATTTGCCTAGGTTTTTTTGCAATCACATGTTTATGATTGTATCTATTTGTTTTAGACTAAATAAAAATAATACAATACTGAAATATTTAATTTACTGCAATATTTTTAGCAAGGGGACATATGAATCACTGTGGACCATAATGCATATATTTTTCGATGCATTGCATAATATATACTAGAAAGTTTTTACTGCAAAATATGCACAAATTATCTATGAAAATATTATTTATTGCACGCAGAAAGTAATATATAACAGTAAAAACAAAAAATATATATATTCGAAAACAATTAGGTTCGGAGATAAAACATAAATGGACATTAGGTTATTGAATTTCTTATTGATGGTGCGATTCTCTATTAGATTTTAAGCACATTGTTAGTACGTATATTTTCGTCAAGCCCGTTGGTAAAGCTCTTTATTCTGTGCAAAATTCCATGACAAAAAGTTGTTGGCGCAAAAATGTGACAAAAATGTTCGCTAGACGTAAATGTTATTTTTTATTTTTATGAGACAGCGACATACGTAACATATAGACCCGTTAGTACTCTGACAAAAAGTGGACGATTGATAAATTATTCCTCATCGTGGCATTTTCAACTTATTTATATAATGTTTAAAGTAAATTGAACTACGAATAACGTTGGATTCGTGATATGGAATTGAATATGATATACTTGAAAAAATCGGCTATCCGGCTACAATTCGATACAGGTTATAATCTCTAAAAAGTAGTTTCATCTAAATTAATAGTTGATATTACTTTAAAACAAACATCCATTATTAATAGATCTTCTAAAGCGTCACGTTTCTGTAATAATGCTATTAAAATTGTATAGTAGCGTCACCAACCAAATTTCGTTTAATAATTCATGTTTGTGTTGACGACAGACGAAATGTACGAGACCCTATTTAATAAAACTAAAGTTACATTATTTAGTAAAAGGACAGGAAAAACATAGGAGAATATCCACCATATTTACAAATAAAAAGAGTTAATATAAATACAAGTAGTACTTTGTGAGCTCATAGACTTTATTTGGCGAATTATACACCCAAGATTAGGATAACTACTCGTACAAGATATAACATGACACCTGAAGTCGTATTCTATTTCTGCGAAAATAAGATTTTGTCTATTATCGAAATACAGATACGATTCGAAAGAAACGAATTTTTCGATAATTTATAATGCAAGGGACCTGACGCTGCTTGGTGCACAGTTCTAAGAACTATTCAAAATTTTCTTTTGTGTGAATTTCGAATTGCACCTGTTCATCGCAAATAAATACACTTTTAGCAGAGGCATACATATTGCAATCACCATTTCTCTACGCATGTTTCTTCTTCTTCGAGTTGTTGTTAATCATTAGTCTATTAATTTCTCCACGACTGGGACACAGGCTTTCTCTATGGATGGAATCGAAAATAGGGAGAATGGCCTATGGCCCACCACGAGTGTTTTTTACGAAATGGTCGGTCTTTAACAACTGCAGTTGTAAAACTAAAGAAAAAGAAATATCTTCGCCACTGGTTTGTTCTTACCGAATATTGTCAAATAGCTGACATGTCATTGAATACCATTCGAATAGAAATACACAACTAGACAGTGAGTGTCTCTTATATCGGATATGCGACATTCTCTAACGTTATATGATTACTGGGTAAGAGTATTTTAACATTCTCCTTCTTCTTTCTTCAACGGCTTAAAAGTATTTTCGTATCAAATTTCATCATAATCGGCCCAGCGATTTATCGTGAGAGTCAGGTTGAAAAATAATTGCAAATTGACATGAATAATATATATAAAATAATGATCGCGGGCTTCATTGAAACTCATGACCATAAAGCTTTTAAGCTCTCGCACTGTGGCGGAAGTTTTTATAATAGCTTTTAATGAAAATTGTATTTAGGTCATTCCAGTGAGAGAGTCAACCTATATTCCGCGTGAAAACTTCAGCGAGAAAAATCGTACGCGACCGTACAATGAAACTTGGTGCGAATTCGATTATGTTCGGGAAGTGAGCGGCGGCGGTTGAATGTTATACCGCATTATTATATAACGTTCGCCAACAGTATTCATCTCTGAATTTGCTACGTGAGAAACCGCCCGCGAAATTGGAAGATCAAGATGGTCTATTGATTATGAGGTAACGGTCATCGGGGCGAGACTTAATTGAAATTAATAAGTCGATCTCTATCCGTGGCTTAGCTGGAGGGTTTGTTTACCGGGGTTGAACCGCGCGGGCGGAGAGTCAGCTGGGTGCGCGCGCCGCGGTCGATACAGGCGGTGGGGGGCGCGTGCGCGCGGCTATCGAGCCCCACACGGACCGCCGCCACCGCCGGCCGCGCACGTGATGCATGCGGGCACCTAGCTGCACGCGCGCGGGCCTCATGGGCACCGTGCTGAGCTTCAGCCCGCGGGAGCGGCGCCCGCCCGTCGCCGCGCCGCCGCCCGATCGCGCCGCCCTCGCATACTCCTACGAACGGCTCAACAATGCCAAAAACAGAGAGAACAGGGAACTGCCGCGCGACGAGCGGCGAGCCACCCTCGACGACGCCGCCAAAATCATCTCAGAGAAAACAGCTCTAGAGAAAAATTTAAAAAAGCACTCGTTATTCATCAATGCATTGTCGTGGAAGAGGTTCTCGACGGCAAACAATAACAAGAAGAAGTTGGAATGCAAGAGCAAAAGTGTGACCACATTCCGGGCGCCGTTGACGGACAACGCGCCTCTGGATCGCAATAAGAATGTGAGCGTGCAGGGTGTGTATAGGCCGACGCCGTTGCCCGCACCTCTACCGGCAGCGGAGGTAGCTCGCGTGAACGCACTCAACAATAACGTGTGCTATGAGAAATTGCCGACAGGCGTGGTCGGGCCGGCGGTCGCCCCTCGTAAAACGGTCATTCAGGCTTCGACTTCGGAACTGCTAAAGTGCCTGGGGATGTTTCTGCATACGCGCTGCCATCGCCTACGCGACTTCCAAGCGGGAGACGCGGTTATGTGGCTGCGAACCGTCGATCGCTCGCTGCTTCTGCAGGGTTGGCAGGTAAACAATAACTGATAAAGGTGTAACCTCTACATAGGTACAATGCGCATTTTCTAATAGAAAGCGACATAAAGAACGCAGCTGGTGATGCGCAGTTCACATAAAGGCTAGCAAGTATGACATTTCATTTATGTGCATTGTCGATTGCGACAAACTGACAAACTGTTGGTCAGTAAGTTTTTGTAAAGATCGCGTTTGGGTGGTATTTACTAGGAAGTAGTCTTCTTGTGTATTGTGTATAGAAAGAAAATAAGAATAATATAGATAGATAAAAAGTTTATTTTTACACACATAATTCCATTACATATTTACACGACAAATAGAAACAAAGAAGAAAAAGAAACAGAAATGTATCTGTGTGTAGCAGTTGAGAAAAGGCTCGGTGCACTAAAATAACCTAACGCAGATGAAGCACCGAATTTCAGCTAAAACACCTACCTATCTCTTATTCGACTTAAAATCGATTTATAAATACTAGTGATCGCCCAGTGGTCGAAATTCGACCATAATAAATTTCAATCATAAGTTATTACTGAAATAAATAATCTTTTGACATTCAGTAAGACCACAGTAAACATCACAAACATATAAATAGATGTCTATGGTAAATATATAAAACTTGACACAGGCTAAATGCACAAACCGTGCGAAGCCAATGTTCAAAAGAAACAAACAAACTCTATGTGTCAAAAGAAACAATTTGACCACATACTCTGTGGTCGTGTATGCGTGTAGCAATTACTTGTTTGTGAGTGTCAAATGCATAGTAGTGTGTCTAATGTTTTATTTATAGGTTTAATGTACTTTATAAGCATTATAATTGAAAAATAGTAGCCGTTTAAACTTCTCCTATATATAAGCTATAAGTGTGCCACATTTCATACTCCTCCGTCCAAAAAAAGGGGTCCAAAGTTTTTGCTTCAAATATTAATATATAGATAGATTCGTATTAAAAAAAAGTGCCTATAGAAAAATGGTTGAGATGACAATCACAAGTTCTTTCTGATTTGAAAGGTTCTTTACGACACAGTTTATATTTGGTGATGTACGCCAAAGGCGGAGGTCTTTTATAATATATATTTGCTATTCAGTTGTAAAAGTCGTGCTATAATCAAGATAAATGACCGGCCATATTATCCGTCTACGTGATACAAGAAATTGTTTTTCACTAGGCAACACTCCTAAGAAGACAACTTTTAGGCTTTTGTGTCACTTAATGCAAATGCTTGGGCTATTTACAAGAAAAAAACTTGAAAAGGAGCTTTTAAAAGTAACGAATATATGCGCTAAAAGTAAACTGAAATAAATAGAAGAGTTTAAAACAAAAACCTGTTTAAATTAAATGTTTTTCTAAAGCAATATATTTACTATGCTTAAATAGTACATTAATTTAAGACAACTCTAACACTAGATTATTGGTAAAATCGGGATTGCTATCATGTATAATATATTTTACGAGTTCCCGATATGAAAGTTTAAAACAACATATGCCAACAAACATTAGCTTTTTTTTCGCAACTTCGCTCGCGTATATTATGACACTCATAGGTTCCAGTAGGTGAAAGAATTGTTAAAAATTGATGCAGTAGTTTTGGAGCCTATTAGTCTATTTGACGCAAACAATTAAAATTTTCCAATAGAACACACATACTATCCATGGAAACCTTAAACATACACGCGTGGTAATGCGTTTAAGGGTGATTCTTGGGAAATGTGTTCTCCGTGTAATTTCCAGGGCATTTTTGAAATCGCAAAATTATGGTGAATTATATAAATATTTCGAAAACTTCTGCAAATTTAAACAACATATTAAAATTGGCCACGACTGAGATCTATAGTTTTGCTAAAAAAAAATGTAGAAAATTGGCGGACCATGGAAATTACATATAAGGCAATGGAAATTACACAGCAGATAAAATTTTGCTAAACACCATGTCGTATATGAAATTAAGCTGTCATATTAGTTAGGGTAGTATTAAGATCTACCTACATTATACTGAAACGATATACGATAGTATTTTCTCAAAGTTGGAACGAAACCTAAACACGTTCATGTTCTCAAAAAACAAAATATATACAACGTGTTATGGAAATAGCGCAAAACCTCTCAGGTGGTAGCTCAGCCCATGAAACTGAACAACTTTCACTATGAGACCAACATTGAAATTTCAGCATCTGGTAAATTTTTCGAAGTAACGTTACATCGGACAAACAAAAGTCGGGCGTCGAAGTAAGATATTCGATGTATTGAAACTTCGAACAATGAACGCTTCGACGTTCACGTATAGTTGTCGATGTATCAATTATCGAAGAAACGTGTTTCGAAGTGACATAGAGAACCCTTTTTCGAAATGGTTATTTATTTTGTCAATTATCTTATAAAAAACGCATCCTACGTCAAATATCAGTAATTAATTTATTGTAAATTTAATTGGCTTTCATTTAACACCAAATTGGTACCTGTAGGGCCAGTGGTTTTCTCAAAAACGATAGATAACGAACACCGGTCATAAGTAGATATTAGGAGGTTATTTCAGTCAAGATAACCCCTTTAGCTATCTATCGTTTTTGAGAAAACCATTGGCCCTACAGGTACCAATTTAGAGTTTAATCAAAGTAAATTTTTACAATAAATAAATAATTTATATAATATGTTAACTTAATCCGGTGTAAAAAATGTCCTTGTGACCCTGTTAACTTCAAACAGACGACAGCGAAAGACAGATGTTTTAAACTTGAATTTGTTTAATCACGATTTGAGAATTTGAAGATGATGATCAAAGTTTTAAATGATATTTAAGACGATTTAATTAAAAAAATAACCAACATTCAACATTTAAGTCTGTATTTGGCGATGGCGTGCATTTCATTGAAAACAAACATTGAACATAACGTTTGTTTTTTTGCAACCAAAATGAAACAAAGTAATTTCCATGGGTGATACGTAATTTCCATGGTGTTTTATCCATGGAAATTACACCATGGAAATTACCAAAAATCATATATTTTGAAATTACTCTGCAGTGAAAAGATATAACCGGCTAGTTTATTACTGTTTATCTACATTATAGAGCTAGATATTTCACCTTAAAACCCATTTTCTAGAAGAAGTACAATTATATTGAAAAAATGTGACATGGCAAAGCCGGATAACTGAGAACCAAAATTTAAGAAATTGAAGAACTTATTTTAGCAACGAAAGCGCGGGAAACAGCGACGTGGCCACCTCACCTGCTAGCTGCGGCATAAATGACGATTCGCAAACACCAATCGGGGTTCGCCTACGCCTCGCCAGCTCAGAACAGTATCTCGCGCAAGGCGCGCGGCGAAAATTTTGCTAAGCGTGTGACACATATACTTCTGACCATAAAATCAAAAGTTTCCTTCCGATTAATTTGAAATTTGATCAATATGTAAACCGATTTGTCTTTTTTAAATGTGTGTAACAAACTGATTAAAAACGTGGGTAATTTCAAAAATATTTGCGATTGCTCAAAAGTCGGCGCGCGTGTGACACGGTAAAAACGTGCAAAATTGACCGGATTTGTGGTGTTGAGGGTAAATTACTCCGATCTACGTCGTTTTTTATCCGTGAAATCTATATGACACTATGCTTAATGAAATGAAGAAACGATGTAATAGTAGTTTTTATCATAATAATTTATTTTTATAGGAGATATGTCCCTGTGACACTCAAAAATTGCTTTTCCAAGAAGTACCCTTAACTCTTTTGTTTATTGAATATCAAATAATCACATAGAAGCATAACCTTTGGTAATAAGACCTCATTCATGAAAATACTACTTAAGTCATCCTAAACGTCACCGTAAATAGGCTTTCGTTTTTTATTTTTATTTTTTTAATGATCAGTTATTAGCAGTTTGATAAAACTAGGACTTTTTGCCATGTGAAATGTAAATACGAGAGTCAAACTGAAAGTTCTTAGAAAATCAAAAACTGATTACATTAGCCAGTTATTAGTTTTATTATATCTTTTCAAAATATTGTCCATTCACGTCAATACACCGCTGCATGCGATGGAACCACTGGGAAAAGCACTTTGCCCACTCGTCCTTAGGGGTCTCTTCAATGGCATCGCGATACGCAGCCACCGCTTCTTCAGCATTCATAAACCGATTTCCTTTAAGTTTTTCTTTAATTTTTGGAAATAAATAAAAATCACAAGGCGCGAGGTCGGGGCTATACGGCGGGTGACCCAGTAATTCAACGTTTGATGTCGCCAAATAGTCGATCGTTCGCTTGGCGGTGTGCGACGAGGCGTTGTCGTGGTGAAGGAGGATCCTACTGCGAGGTCGTTTCTCTCGAACTTTTTCCAAGACAAGTGGCAAACAATTGGTAGTGTACCATTCTGCAGAAACTGTTTTTTGATCCTCTAACACAATTGTTGCAAAATGACCTATCCTTCCAAAGAACGAGGCCACCATTTTTTTTCCCGCACTTCGATCTCTCTTCACTTTAGTTGGCAACTCCTCGAAAGGAAACACCCACTGAGCAGATTGTCTTTTGGTTTTAGGATCATAACAGTAAATCCAGCTTTCGTCACCTGTTAGTATGTCGAACACAGCATTTGAGTCACCTCCGTTAAATCTTTCAATCATTTTACGACACCAATCCACACGATGGAGTTTTTGAGCCTCAGTCAAATTATGAGGTATCCACCGGGCGCAAAGCTTCCTGACCGCTAAATGTTCGTGGAGGATTTTGTGCACTTGACTCATACCGATGCCTAAGCTTGTCCGAATCTGTTGATAGGTCACTCTTTTGTCAGTCTCTATCATACGCCGCACAACACAGATGTTATCTTCAGACGTCGCCGTAGAAGGCCGTCCCTCACGTAAATCATCAGTGAGATTAGTGCGACCACGTTTAAACTCATTAAACCAGTTGTAAACAGTCGCACGAGATGGGGCTTCATCGTGAAAGGCCAATCGTAGTCTATCATAACTTTCTTGTTGACTTAAATGACATCGAAAGTCATA